TGATAAGGGTCTCCTTCAGCCATGAGCATGTAAAACCGTGTCCATTTATCAGCATCAGGTATGAAGAGTTTGTATCGTGGATTATTCATGATGAAAACGGGAGCGGCTTGAGGTGATGCGTCACTGTCACTGGTCCACGGCTAAATGAAGTTAGATAGCCCTTGTGGCCTGTTATATATACAGATATCTTCATTGACCTTGGGCTTGGTATAGCTTTCAACATCGCTGCCAGGATGGTTTGGATGCACTACTATGGCAAAAAAACCCGGGTGTACCAGGTGTACTAAGCCAATGCTCTATCAAACAACCAGGCATTTTGAATGGCCTCATCTCTAAGTGCATTGACAAACTGTGGTTTCAAAACAAATGCTACGATTGGCATGTTACTGGCAAAAAGACTCTTCCACATACTGTCTGCCGTCCACAGGGGGTGAACTAATCTTCATAAAAAAACCGCTAGATAGTTATTTCTATGATTTTTCCTCAGGAAACGACGCCTTTCATATCGAGTCACTGGTAATCTTCCCTTTAATAAGCTATTGATAATACCATTGATGGCAAGAATCTGTTCTCTGTTCATTTCTAAGATGTCTTGTCGAATCTCCTCAATGTCTTGAAACATTAACATGAACCTTAAAAATTCGTAATGTTTCAACACGTACCTAGCCATACTATTTCTAGCAAACAAACTCTTATCGTGGTAGGGATCTCAGTGAGATTAGTATTTGAGTAAACCTCTATTTATACTATACATAGTCAACCAAGGCAGACATACTCTTAACATTGATTTATTTCCAATAGTCACACATTTTACATCAAACTCTTGGTTGCAAATCCACATGACTACCCCAACGGGTCACCTCTTTCTGAGGTACTCCCACCAGGGCCAAATACGGACAATCTGGAGACCATTTTTCATGTTCGGCCCAGGGATCATCATCTACTTCCCAGTTCTTGAGAACGAGACCACATTGAAAAAACTTGCAAGCGTCCCCTCTGATTAAGTACACAAATCCTGCCTGAGCCATGTGACTAGGACTCTGTTTCATCTGCACTGGCCAGTCTTTAAACGAATCGAGTCTTTTCTGGAATGAAGTCCATTCAGTCTTGATTGCACAGCAATCGGCAACGACAGTCTTGTCGAATGGGTAATGTCCACACACATCCATGATATCCCAGAGCAGTGGTAACACGTCCGCACAGTACAGTGTCTAAACCAAGAATGGCTTTACACCCAGTAACTGTAGTAACTAGGGTTGCAAAAGGAACACTGGAAGTATCCCATCTGGTTTTGATGATCGTCCTGAAGCATACAGGGTACCATGTCCTTCAGTTCTGGCACAAAGTCAAACATGACTCTTACACAATCTACCAGATTTTCCCACTGATCTAGGGACAACAGAATACATTGGTTGGTAGGTATCACTCTACCACTTTTCTGATCATTCTCCCACTGTCGCACATCAATACCATTGTCGTCCCAGGAAGCGTACATGTTCCCTCCAACATGGACGTGTGAGTACCTTCCCTGCTGTTTCAGCTGCACGTGAACACTAGACACTTCCAGCCAGTGTTTCAAGGTAAGCACGATGCCTCGTTTGGTTGGGTAGCACTTGCCACTCGGGTATACTTCGTACTTACCTCACATGAATTTCTAGTTTTCCATTCCATGTCTTGGCTGTCACATAGACGTCGTCCCCTAGATGTAAATGGCATCTGTGATTTGGAAGTGTTACCAGGGCCTCGTTATCACAACTCAGAATATCACGGTGAACGGCTTCCATTTTCAAGGCCAATAGAACCAGTAGAGTCAAGAACATAGAATGGAGAAGGGACGTTGTCCGACTGAAGTCAGAATGATATGGAGGACTGTTCGGGGGACCTTATATTACCCATCAGAGTCCAAAAATAGAAACACCAGATGTTGATATGAGTCATGGTCTAAATATAGACTCTTCTAAAAATAGAAACAGCAGGTGTTGACATGACTCATGGTCTTAAAATAGATTTTGACCCTATAAAGCCCCATAGCTAAAAATAGATTTTGCAGCCATAAAGGCCTCTATACTACTCCTGTACCTACTACCCGTACCCGCCTCTCGATATCTCCCCTGCGTTTGCTCCTACCACTACCCGCCTCTTACTCCTCCCCTCCTATCACTCCTACATGTACCTGCCTGTACCTACTACCCGTACCCACCTCTCCATATCTCCCCTGCGTTCGCTCCTACCCGTACCCGCCTCTCCCTCCTCCCCTCCTATCACTCCTACATGTACCTGCCTATATACTACTACCTGTGCCCGCCTCTCCATATCTCCCCCTGTTCGCTCCTACCCGTACCCGCCTCTACTCCTCCCTCCTCACTCCTACATGTACCTGCCTATATACTACCCTCTCCCGCCTCTCCATATCCCGCCTTCACCCGCCCTCCCTATCTCCCCACCTCCTGTCCTATCACCCGTACCCTACCCTGTGTCTCGCTCCTACTGTACCTCCCCCTCCCTCCTCCCCCTCCTATCACTCCTACATGTACCTGCCTGTACCTACTACCCGTACCCGCCTCTCCATATCTCCCCTGCATTCGCTTCTACCCGTACACGCCTCTCCCTCCTCCATTCCTATCACTCCTACATGTACCTGCTTGTACCTACTACCCGTACCCGCCTCTCCATATCTCCCCTGCGTTCACTCCTACCCGTACCTGCCTCTCCCTCCTCCCCTCCTATCACTCCTACATGTACCTGCCTCTCCCTCTGTCTGTCACTCCTACCAGGCTCTTCCTCTTAACTCTTCTCCCGCCTTCCTTCCTCTCAATCCTCCATTTCTTTCCAACTCGTACCCGCCTCTCCCTCCTCCCCTCCTTTCACTCCTATTCGTACCTCCCTCTCCCTCTTCAATAGCCCTCCCTCCTTCCCGGATCTCCCTCCTACCGGTACCTGACTCCTACTTCCCACCTGTACTGCTGCTTCCACTCCTGCACTCAATCCAACCATATACCCGCCTCTCTTCCTCCTCCTTTGTGTTCCTCCGAACTGTACATATCTCTCTCTCATCCCTGGCTCCTCTCCTACCCCGTTCACGTCTTTTCCCATTTACCCGTACCCACCTTTCCCTCCTACTCATACCATACCTCTCTCTCCTCTACTTCTCTCAATCCCCCTTCTCGTCTCTCCCCCTACTTATTCCTCCTCTCCTTTCTTCCTGTATTTTATATCTGCCTTTACCTTTGCTAATCATACAAATCCTCTTCCTCATCCATCGCTCCTGTTCTACCGTAACCTCTCCTCTCTCCCTCGTTCTGCCTCCTTTCTCGCCCTCTCCTCTCCCTCGTCAACCCCTCCTACTCCTGTCTCAATCCTCCCTCCTTCCCGTCTCCTCCCTCCTCCACGCTTTTCTTCCAACTCGCACCCCCACCCCCGTCTAACTCATCCCTTGTCTTAATCCAACCCGGATCTGTTTGTACCTCCTACTCGTACACGTCACCCTCCTTGACGGCCTCCCTCATACTCATGCACGCCTCTCTCCTCCTAGCCCTCTCCTACCAGTACCCGCCTGTACCTCCTACCCGTACCAGTCTCTCCCTCCTTCTCAGCTCTACCCTGCTCTCCCTCCTACCTATACAAAATGTACATCCCTGACTCCCTCATACCCGTACCAGTCTCTCCCTCGTACCCGTACCCGCCTGTACCTCCTACCAGTACCAGTCTCTCCCTCCTACCCGTACCCGCCTGTACCTCCTACCCGTACCAGTCTCTCCCTCCTACCCGTACCCGTCTGTACCTCCTACCAGTACCAGTCTCTCCCTCGTACCCGTACCCGTCTGTACCTCCTACCCGTACCAGTCTCTCCCTCCTACCCGTACCCGCCTGTACCTCCTACCAGTACCAGTCTCTCCCTCCTACCCGTACCCGCCTGTACCTCCTACCAGTACCAGTCTCTCCGTCGTACCCGTAACCGCCTGTACCTCCTACCCATACCAGTCTCTCCCTCCTACCTATACAAAATGTACCATCCCGTACCTCTCTACCTCCTACCCGTACCAGTACCAGTCCCTCCCTCCTACCCGTACCCACCTGTACCCTCCCCCACCAGTACCAGTCTCTCCCTCCTACCCGTACCCGCCTGTACCTCCAACCTGTACCTGTCTCTCCCTCCTACCCGTACCCGCCTAGACCTTCTACCAGTACCAGTCTCTCCCTCCTACTCGTACCCGCCTAGACCTCCTACCCGTACCAGTCTCCCCCTCATTCCCGGCTCTACCCTACACTCCCTCCTACCTATACAAAATGTACATCCCTGGCTCCCTCCTACCCGTAAAAGTTTCTCCCTCTATGCCTGTACATCCTACCCGCGCTAGCCGCTCCCTCCTCCCATGTTCTTCCCCCTACCCGTACCCGCTTCCTACCCTACCCGTACCCGCCTCTCCCTCCTACCCGTACCCGCCTCTCCCTCCTACCCGTACCAGCCTGTAAACTCCTCCCAGGCAATCCCTCCTACCTATACATCCCTTGCTCCCTTCTACCTGTGAACGTCTCTCCCTCTACGCCTGTACATCCTACCCGCGCTAGCCGCTCCTTCCTCCCATGCTCTCCCTTCTACCCGTTCCCGCTTCCAACCCTACCTGTACCTACCTCTCCCTCCCACCCCCACTCTCTCTTCCTCGTACCTGTACCCCGCATGTACCCCCTACCGCACCCTCCCCCATGCTCTCTCTCCTACCGGTACCCGCCTCTCCATCCTACCCGTACCCGCCTGTACCTCCTACCCGTACCAGTCTCTCCCTCTTACCCAAACCCGCCCTTCACTTCTCACCTGTTTTCTCCCTTCTGCTCCTATCCGCCTCAACCTCACTCTCACCTCCTAGTAAACTCAATCTAACATGAGTTTTCTACTCAAAAAGAGTGCACAAATATATTTTCTTGAATCAGTATGCCATTCTTGATAACATGTTCGTATTATTGAATTGAAGTGATTTAGGACAATAATATGTTTGTTTCAGAATGGACGCCTTCCCCAAATGTTCTGTCTGCCAGCAGCAGTTTACCCTGAAGGGCCCCGCCCCCTACCTACTGCCCTGTCTACACGCTGTGTGTGAGACGTGTGTGACATCTGCAGCTGCCGGTGTGATATCATGCTCCACGTGTCAGAGGGAGGTCAACCTCAAAGAAACAACCCTCCAGCAGGATGCAGTGAGACAGAAGGAAATATTACACCTGACGGTCAAACATCGCCCCACAGAGCTTCTCTGTACACACGAAGATGACGGCAACCAGGCTGTGTGTTGGTGCCCAGAGTGTGAAGAGTTACTCTGTGAATACTGCCAGAACATGCACAACAGTTTCAAAGCTACCAGACGACATGTTGTTGAAACCATTGTGGACACGGCACCGGGAAGCATGAAGGCTGAACCAGTTTGCAAACTTCACAATCGTTATCCTCTGGAATATTTTGACAAAAACTGTAACATTTTAATCTGTACAAAATGCAGGCTTGGCGACCATGCTGAACACGACGTTGAGGATTTAGACGTAGCTTCTGATGCTGCTGAAAGGCGGATAAAACAACATGGGAAGAACGTGACTGCACATCATACGTCTCACCAAGCATATCTGAAGAGCATCAGCAAAGTCATCAATGACACAAAGAAGAAAAGCAGTGCTGTGAAGGAGACGATCCACCACACATTCCGTTCTCTCTGAGGACACAACTCGATCAAAGAGAGACGGATCTGATCATCGATCTTGACAATCAGACGAAGCAGAAACTGTCAAATCTACACATAGAGCAGGTTACCTCTGAAGGCGAGAGTGAACGATGCAAGTGGACCTCAGACTACATCAAGACAGTACTCAGATATGCTTCGAACTCGGACTTTCTGACACTGGAGAGTTCAATACAAGAAACAACGAAGACTTACCTCAGATCAGTTCCACAAGAGCTGCACTGTTCACCTGCAGCCGCATTCAACATGAGAGGACTGGAGAAATTGAAATCCGACATTTCTGAGTTTGGGTCTCTCGTTAGAGATGGATCAACATCTGATGAACACACTCTGACAGGTACTGACTCTGGCAGTATATGTTATATATTAGATTTGTTTACTATTTCCTAGCATACTGTCAAGTATTTTTGATTAGGCTTTGTCAGAAACATTGATAGCTTGTAGATGTTTCTCTTGACCATTCATTTAATTTGACTTTAAGATGGTGAACTGATGCTCGTTCTATTCCTTTTTAACACAAACTCCGTGAAGCATAAAATGATCGATTGGTAACAGTTGTTGGTTATTTTACAGACAGAGGTACACAGACAGATGATATCCATCTACCTGACCCGGAGAACACACTCACGCATGTAAGTAATTCTTAGTAAGCATACATATATACGTCTCGTAGTCTCTGAGGTAATAATTATTGTCACCTGCGTACATATTATGTTCATATTGAACTTATGCTTGTATGTTAGAAGTGAAACAAGCCTACTGTTTTGTGAATCTTGAATTGCGACATTGAAATATATTCTTTCGTTTCAAGCTGAAGCTTCCGGAGGCTGCTAACGATCCAGCACCACTAACACAGTTTGGTGAGATTTTTAGATTACTTTGCAAAACGTAACGAGGGAAAACATCGTTACCGTATGTGTCCCTTTATTTTGTATGCCATATTTTCAGAAGCACATGCTTCCAACTCCTTTATGAATTAAACAGATATAGTTATGGATGGGCAGAAAATGGCCTCATAAAATATTTATCCAAAGTATATCTTATGTGAACAATTTTTGGTCTTTTCATATTGACATGATACTGTGATACGTGTAAGCTTAGAGGGCAGATATCTGATACGTTATCAATAGCCGTTTGTAATGGACAGAAGCTGAGGCTAAACAATGTTGAAAAGCGACTCTACTGATATTACAGGGACCAGATCTGTCTTGGCAGATATTTTGTTGGGTACAAAGGTGGAGTGCATCTTATTTTGAAAAAAAGTACCAAGCATAGAAGTTACAGATTATGGTTTAATGTGTATGAGCATTTTTGTTCTTCAAGCTGGGAAATATTTTGCAGATGCGGGGACTAAAACCTACAGTCTGGAAACAGGAACAGGGACCAAGTTGACACTGCAGTGTGAGTATAATCAGTTACTTGCTTGGCGACGTTCACAGCTTGATGTTATGTCATTGTGCGCCCACAAACAGGATAGGTTACTGGATGAAGCGCTCTTTCCTGACCTGTAACCACAGGATGCTGTCCAGGTTTGCTG